TAAAGTTTTAATTTATATGAATGTTGAAAGTAAAAAATTTTAGCTTCACTTCTCTAAGGCCTCTTGCTACAACAGCTGTAAGATTGGCGCAGAGGATTGGAGCATTGGCAAGTTTGATGACTGGAGGAAGAAGAAACGATGTCGTACAATGGCAACTGGCAGCTGATCATCAGTGGAAAATTACTGCTGATGCAGCTGTTTGACATGCATACGAGCTACTACTCAAAGTGACATTGTTCGCTTCTGATGTTTTGCTTTGCAGTGCGAAAAGTATTAAACAAAATTCGGTTATAAAAATTAGAAGATTCATTGAGTCCACTTGATTAATTTTAAATTGAATTATTTAAAAAATAATAAAATTATTTTATTTTATTTTTATTAACTGAATTAAATTTATAAATTTCAGAAATTAACTAATCAAATTTAATTTGATTGGTTAGGTTAATTTTTTTAGTTAATCAAATAATAAATATATTTAAGTTAAATTATATTTTAAACTCTTAATTTCTCATATTTTAAATAAATTAAATAAAATTATCTAATAAAATATTTAAATATCAAAGTATTATATTAAAAACTCTAATAATTTATGAAATAAAATGATTAATTTCATATATTTTTATTTTATATTTGGATTATATTATATTATGATTAAAATTTTGGTTAATTCAATTAATTCAGTTTTTGAATCAAATTAATTAAAGATCAAAATTTTTTTAAATTTATTTTTGTTAATTAATCAAAATTAATTCGATGATCGACCAATTAATAAAATTACCGATCGATTAACAAAATTAAATTAGTTCATCAATTAATTTGATTAAAACTAAATTATAAACACCCCTAATAAAATTAATTTTGAAAATTTATTCAAAATGAAAATTTTTAATTTTTTACGCATAGCAAAAGGGTAAATAACTTTTTTTCAGTTAACTTTTTAAATATTTCATTTTTATATTCCGATTTCTTTTGACAAAATCAAATATTTTTTTACTTTTTTTTTGTTAGGACAGAATTTTAAAAAAATAAAATAAAAATGTAAAATAAGAATTTCATTATTCTCTATATTACGAAAAACTTGAGTTTTACTCAAATGGAGGAGAATGAATATTAAATTGTGGGATAAGAATAGAAATGATTATAATTTAAAATTTTTATTTGATACATGGATAACGATAGCTAGTGTAGCATACATCTTATATTCATATCGATACCTTATATATTTATATATATTTAGTAAATAAAATTTATATTAATAATATAAAATTTTATTTTAAATTAATCAGATCTAATATATTTTTATTTAAAGATATATATATTTATAAAAAAAGTTACATAAATATGTAAGATTAAAATTAAAAAAATTAAATATAAATTTTATATTTTAAAAAAATTATAGATACAAGAATTACCCTTACCTATTAAAGCCAGAGGAATGAGAATAAGAATGGATTGAAATATTCGTTGAGTATTAATTTGAATATGAGTATACTATAAAAAATCGAAAATGAGATAAAAAAATATTTTATCCGTCCCATACCTACCTACAGACATTCCTAATGTCAATTGACCTAATGTAAATTGAAGATTTTAAAGGTTAAAGGAAAACCTATATTATTTGGAAAAAAAAAATTTAAACTAATTTTTTAAACAAGACATACATGTAGAT